CTCTCTCTCTCTCTCTCTCTCTCTCTCTCTCTCTCTCTCTCTCTCTCTCTCTCTCTCTCTATTTCGCTCTCAGTTTAATCTCAATCCCCATGTTAACTTGAATCATCTGTCTCTAACATTGGCCTTGTGCCTTGACCTTGCCCGCCTGTTCGTCGCCCTCCCCTCCGACCTCCCCCCCACCGCAGCAACGCGTGGACAAGGAGCTGGCAAATATTCGAAACAAGTTCAGCTCGAGCTCTGGACTGAGCAGCTACAACCGCAAGAAGTAAGTGGCACCGCAAATGGTACGGCCGTACACGACCACAACCCCTATCCCCCCCGCCTTCCACGACAGCCTCCCCCACCTTCCAGGACGAACATCAAAGGTTCGATCTAGCCATATCGCAGGAAGTTATGTTAGTTTTGGAATGCACATGCTATCGTAGCCGGAAGACTCGGGTAGGCATGTGCCCGTTGTTTTGAGGCAAACGGTTTTTCTTTTGTGCCGATTTGTCCACTTGGGGGAACGCGCTGGTGAACCCTTTCTCGCGCTAACAAGTGTGGGCACACACCGCGCAGTGGTTGATCTGCGTGACCAACGCCGATCGGGGCGTTTCAGTTGAGGAGGGCGATCCCGTACTACGAGCGACGGCAATCTACGACATCTACGCAACAGCGAAGATATCTATCAATGGTATCGATGAAACTAAGGCTACTAGTACAGGAAAGGAGATGTCACTCGCAAAGTATGTATGTGATGATCACGGCGACATATTTCAAGAGTGGAGATCCTAATCCCCCGCCCCAACAACAATCTTGGTGGTGTGCCCCGAATCGCCGAAATACTCGAACCGTTCAGGTATGTATGGAAGCTGGTCTACATGTTCATGCTCGGCTACGAGATTGACTTCGGACACATGGAGATGATCAGCCTCATCAACTCAACCAAGTGAGTATGTTGACTTGAACGTGGTGTTGTCAGGGGACCCCAACGGTTGAACGTGGTGTGAAACCCCCTGAATGGAAAGGGGGGCTCCGAGAGAAGACTTCTTGTCTGTGTCCATCTTATGGTCGAAGCGTACAGTAGACAGATCCCCCCACACACACGCGTTGTGTGTAGGTCGGCTCCGAAGACGCCGAACGGAAAACACCTATTTCCTGTTTGTTCCTCAAGAGTCGAAGTTGGGGTGCCTGTGTCGGTCGGTGCGGACTCCGCATTCCTCACATGCCGCACGGGTTTGGAAAATCGTCATCACGTTGTGCTCGTCGCACCATACACTGGCGGTGAAGAGTCACCACCGCGCCTTCGGCAACGTCAAATGTCTTTTTTTTTCGCTCATGGCACACATATCGGGGACACGTTTCCCCAGCCCGCTCGCCTGTTTCTTCCCACAAGAGCGGCGTGCTAGTTGGATCGCTCTTGTTCGTCTCGCCGCCGTTGTCGGCACGCACGGCTTGCTTACGCCGCCCGTCGTGTCTGACGGCCTTTTTGGTTCTCAAGGTACTCGGAAAAGAACGTGGGTTACGTGGCCGTCAGCCTACTCCTTCGGTCTGGGGACACGATGATGTCGCTTGTCATCAACTCAATCCGGAACGACCTCAACAGCCACTCGAGCCCCGCCCAGGCGAGTCTTCCCTTTTTCGGGTGGTTGCGCCGTACGGTCCTTGAACTAGACACAACACATTTCGCAGCTACATCGACCCTTATTTTTGTTTGTACCTGGTTGTGCTTTGTTTTCCTGCTTCGGTTTCGCCGCTTGAGGGTGCAGCCACGTTGGTTGTTTTTGCGGTATGGGAGTGGTTTATTCGCAGTCGTTTGCTTTGCGGACCGAAAAACACTGGAAATGCACGCAGTACAGAGCGGTATGTGTTTGTTGTTTTCCTGTCGATTGGTATGGAGTTCGTGGGCGCCAACAAGTGCGCTCTTCTACGCCGGAAACTCGCCCCGTCACGTGTCCCACGTCTTGTCGCTCCCGCATCTTTCCTCACTATTTAGCATGCCAATAACGTTTTGCTGGTGCCGGCGGTAGGTTCTGCGCGAGGTTGCCCGTTGCTTGTATAATTGCCCCTCTGCTTGTTTGACTTAGTCTCCCGGTGTGTTGACGGGCTGCATGTGCCTGTGTGCGTGGTCCGTTTTTTTGTGTCGGTGTTACCGTTCAGACTCTGGCGCTGGCAACGGTGGCGAACCTTGGGGGGAACGATCTGTCCGACGCTCTCTTACCGGTGAGTTCTTTGTTGTTGTTGTTGTTGTTGTTGTTGTTGTTGTTGTTGTACGTGACGAATGACTTTTGTCGCGTACAGCGTTGCCGAGATTGGCATTCTTTATTTCCAACGCTTTGGCTTTCCGCCTCTGTATCTACACACCCATCTGTGTCTTTCTTCTTTGTTACTCCCTGTTTGGGCGGCTGTGCCTCTTTGCCTCCGGATCTGTAGTCTCTCTCGCACTCACACTACGTGGGCACGAAGTTCTTATCATGGCAAATTTGGGTCGATTGTTTGGAACAGGATGTGGAGCGGCTGCTGGTGATGAAGGGGACGGATCCGGCCGTGCGAAAAAAGGCCGCGCTGTGCTTCCTAAGATTCTTCAGAGAGAACCCTGGCAACCTCATCCACTCGGAGCTATCGGAAAAAATGGTGACTGCTGTGTGCTCTGTTCGTGGCCATGATGTTGGTTTTGTGGGCTGTGCTCCGCGATCTCGGCTTGTGCAGAGGGCGGCGGTGGCTGCGGCGTCGTTTGTTCATAGCGACAGTGACAACACTGTTGTTTTTGTTGTCAATCATAACGCGACAGTGGGTAGGGGTCGGGTGGTATGGGCCCTGCTGGTGACGTCAGTGGCTGTCATGCCATGTTCACGTCGGGGACAGGGTTCAAAGGCTGTGCGGTCGGTGCGATTGTTTCCCATCGTTGTTGTTTTGTGCTTGGTCTCCGTTGCTCCCGGTGCTACGGGTATCCTAAGTCATGATGTATAGAACACCCGCCTGTGTCGGCACGCCAACCGTGTGGCCCACGCCGTTCCCATGTTGACACACCGACCGCGTGCCCCCCCCGCCGCACTGTCGTTCGCTCAACAACTATCACTACCCTGAGATCGCTTGTATCGGTCCCTCCTTCGGGTTTGGCCGCGTGCTAGGAAACAAGACCGTTGCCTGCTCTACATCCCTGTCAATAACCCGGACTTACGGCACCGTGATGGGTATTTGTAACCCCTTTACCCTTTGCTGTTCCAGGCTCGTTTGCTGGAGAACAAGAACCTCGGCGTGGTGACGAGCGTCATGTCCCTGCTGATAGGATTGGCGTCTAGGAGCCCGGGCAACTACGAGGGGCTTGTTCCTCACGTGATCCATCTTCTCACCCGACTGGTGAGAGAGAGAGAGAGAGAGAGAGAGAGCGAGAGAGAGAGAGAGAAGGTTGAACAGCTCTGCCCTCCCTCGATAATTATTCCAGTCCCCTCACTGGGTTTGGACATTTTGTTGGTCAATCGTCTCCACAGCAGTCAGGTCGAACCAGCAGTCTGGGGCGTCACCAGCTAGAGAAACCTATACCCCACCCCCACACTTGCCGTGTCGTCCCCGCCTTTTTTTTTTTTCCTCACAGAAACAGACGGAAATCATCTCCATCTCTGACCACGGAAAATATGTCCAGGATTAATGTGCCATGCATTCACAGCGCTGCATGACCAACCTGTGTTTCTACTGCTGCATTCTCTGATTTATGTTTCGTTGTGTAATTTGGTTCAAGGTTATCCACAAGGCATGCGCGTCGGAATACCTATATTACGGCACCCCGAGCCCTTGGATGCACGTGAAGCTGCTAAAGTTCCTGCAGATGTTCCCGCCACCGGCGGACGGGAGCCAGAGGGAGAAGCTCGACGAGGCTCTAGAGAAGATCATCACAAAGACCGAGGTAAGCTAGCTGGTGCGCATCGCTGCGACACTTCAGGCTTGACCCTGGCGTGCTCTGCCGCAACCACTTTCCGTGTGTGAGATGGCCCTTGAGATGATGAACCGGAAACAACGAGTAGCTAGCAAGCGCGCTGTCACACCGTACCCTTAGCCTTGGCGTGTTGCCGGTATGGGCACGAGGGAGAGCGCCCTTTTTTTTTTTTTGCCTAATGATCTAACCGGCAATAATTGGGGCGCACGAACAAACGCTTAGCCAGCAGTGCACGGCAAAGTGGTTGGTCTGGCATGACCACGTCTGGTGCGACATGGATGGCATGCATTCCTGGCCGTCTTTCTGTTTTGTGTTTGCCCTCTTGCGGCGTTTCGCGCGGTGGGATCGATCGGGAATATTTCTAACAGCTGTACTCCCGGCCGCTTATCCTGTCACGGCCGCCAAAAATGCGGAATTCGCGGCGGTTCTTGCGGAGAACTGGAGGACGATTGAGGCACCAAACGACGTGTCGTGTGCCTACTGATGTTGTTGCTGTCGTTGTTGGTTGCAGATCTCGGCGAGCGTGAACAAGAGCAACGCCGACCATTGCATCTTGTTCGAAGCCGTCAACGTCATCATACATCATGTAGGTTCCATTGCTGCTGCTGCTGCTGCTGCTGCTGCAGTTGTGTTGTAGTTTCGTGCTGTTCGTGCCTTGAAACTCGATGTGACACTTCTCGAAAATCTCCATATGCCGGGATTGCCTTTGCGGCCCCCATCGGCTCTTGGCCTACGATACCGCTCTAGCGGCGCTACTCAACCTCCCCCGTGGCGTTGCGGCAGTGATAAGTGCGGTCGTATCAAACCAAAAACCAAACCAGCTCCTTCTTGTTGCTGTGCACAGATACGCGCGTAACCAATCGCACCGATTACTTTTGGTTTTGCATGCATCGTGGAATTCTGTTGAAATTGCGATGTGATGAACTAAACATTCACCCCCGTTGGCAATCGCCCAGCATTAGGGTGGCGTTTCCCGCGTGCCCGGGTGACAGTATGGCATGCGAGGCACAACTCCCCAAGCCAACCTGTACGGCATGGTTGTCTTTCGTCGCCTAGTGCCCGAACATTTAGTGCCTGAACTTTTTGTGTAGTAGGCGTTTTGGTGTGGTTATTTGGTGTGTTTCGGCCGAAGGTGAAGGTTATGTTCATGCGGGGCGACCAACAACCCCCTCTCCCCCCCCCCCCCCCCCCCCCCCCCCCCCCCCCCCCCCCCCCCCCCCCCCCCCCCCC